AGCCCTCTTATAAGGACCACCTGGGCCCTCATTAAGCCAGCCACGGCCTGATTGGGGCGTGGCCCCCAGCTGAGGCTGCTTCCCCCAATCAGCCCCCGCTTTTCCTTCCCTGCCACAGCCCTCTCCCCAGGCTGTTTTAAGCCTTTTAAGGCAGGAGTGGGTGACCACCCCACTACAAGCTCCCTGCAGCATAGCTCCAGGGAAAGAACCAGCATGGGAACGGGAATTATGTGAAAGACACTTGGTGGTGATCATCCAGGAGTCTATGGAAGTGGTGTTGGGTCCCAGCAGGGCTCGGAGATGTATTGATCAGCATGAGAGTGCGCTGTGGGCTTGGGTAATGCAAACATGGTTGGACTGTTATTATTTGGGATCATTTTTTAAGATGTTCCAATTGCATGGCTGCTGTGTTACTCTGCACGGCTGAGCAACTCCCCAGGAAATCGCTCTCTTCGTCAGTGCCTCAAATTACCCCATTGGCAAGACCTTGTTTGGGAAGCTGTTGTGGCAAGTTTGGTGCTCTCCTGGTGCAGATGAATGTAGGAGAAGGTGAGGGGCTTGAGCATGCTGACTTGTCCATTTGTGTTTGCAGGAGACAACAGAGGCCTCCTGGAGGAAACAAATCACAGCAGCAGCACACGGATCATCAGCAAGGTACTGCCAAACACAACAGGGAACACCAGAAACTCTACCAGGGAGGCCAACCCCCTCACTCCTCAGGGAGGCCAGGTCACCACGGCTACAGCCAAAACCGGCGATGGCACCACAACCAGAAGCACTCGCCCAACGACAAGGAAACGCACAGAAATGCCAAAGAGACTGAGAGTTTGAAAATCGAGGACGCCTCTGTCTGCACAGTGCACATCCCCCTGGAGATGTACCGGAGCACGGAGGTCGTGGAGAGACCGTCTCAGCAGTACATTCAGGAACCAGAACCCAAGCAGAGAGACAGTGTTCATGAGCGCATCGGGGAAAGGCCAAAGGTCAATTTGCTCCAGTCTTCCAAAGACAGACTGCGAAGGAGACTAAAAGAAAAGGTACTATTCCTGTGGGGAGCTGAATTTCCCTGTATTAAAAGCTCAACTGTTGATCCTTTCACACACGTACATGGGGCCTTGTTCCTGAGCACAGCCAAACTTATCGTCTCCTCTCCTAAACGCAACATTTCTTCTGGTGGGTGGCTGGGTTTTTGTGGTTCTTCGTCGGGCCTTTTACTGACACACTGCTGAGTCTCTCTATCTAACTGCACCTGACCTGTTGTTTGGTGTTCATGTTAAGGCCGAGTTTTCAAAGGAGGAATTGTGAAAACCCCTCCTGCAGAAAACACTGCATGAAGATGCGGGTTTATGAGCCCAAATCAGGAGCACGTGCATTTCCCAGCCTATTTGCAAATGCCAGTTGAGTTTCTGGAGTGTTCTAAAATGTGGCTATGTGTCTCTTCCAGAATCTAGATCAGAGGTGAGCAAACTACGGCCCGCGGGCCACATCCAGCCCGCGGGACCGTCCTGCCCTGAGCTCCTGGCCTGGGAGGCTAGCCCCCAGCCCCTCCCCTGCTGTTCCCCCTCCCCCGCAGCATCAGCTCGCTCGCTCCGCCGCCAGCGCAGTGCTCTGGGCGGCAGGGCTGTGAGCTCCTGGGGCAGCGCAGCCGCAGAGCCCGGCCTGACCCGGTCTCTGTGCTGCATGGTGGCGGCAGCGGCATGGCCCAGCTCCAGCGCCACCAGCCACCGGTGCTCCAGGCAGCACAGTACGGGGCAGGGAGCAGCGGGGTTGGACAGAAGGCAGGGGAGTTCGGGGTGGTCAGGGGGTGGGGGTGTGGATAGCGGTCGGGGGGGAACAGAGGGTTGGATGGGGGCAGGGATCCCGGGGAGGCAGTCAGGAAGGAGGGGTGGTTGGATGGGGTGGCAGGGGGAAGTCAGGGGCAAGCGTTCCGGGGGCGGCAGGGGGCAGTCAGGGGCAAGGGTTCCGGGGGCAGTCAGGGAGAAGGGGTGATTGGATGGGGCAGGAGTCCCGGGGGACTGTCAGGAAGGAGAGGCGGGGTTGGATGGGACGGCTGGGGTCCGTGGACAGCCAGGGAGCGGGGGGGTGTCAATGGGGCAGGGGTCCCAGGGAGGGGGGCATCAGGGAATGGGGGGGTTGGATGGGGCAGGAGTCCGGGCGGGGGGGGGGAAGATAGGACGTGGGGGCCGGGCCACGACCCCCTCCCCTAACCGGCCCTCCAGACAGTTTATGAAACCCGATGCGGCCCTCAGGCCAAAAAGTTTGCCCACCCCTGATCTAGATACTGAGTGCAGAATTCAGACTTTGAACACTGGAGAGGTAGATTTAGCCACTTAAACCTGATATCCATTTATCTAGCTAAGTGGATAAATATATCAAAAGCACCCTTATCCTTCCCCCTTCTCTTGACCAACTCAACAATAACAAAACTTGTGTGTGCAAGTGATGGACAAGAAATCATTTCTGGAGACAAAGTTTCAAATTTCTGAGGGTTTAATAGATAATCTGTCCACGTGCACCCTCGAGAATGTAGGATTTTTGTTGTAAGTGTATTTGTGCGTATTGAAAAAATCCACACAAATGAATTTTCAGCAAAAATATCCAAATGTGTAGTAAAAAATAAACACAAATATGCAGAGCATATCTAGTATATGAAATGAAACAAACATGAACATAAACAGCTCTGTTGTGTGTTTGTGTGCATACCATTTGAATATGTCCGTGTATCTGTATGTATGCAGTGCGATGTAGACCATTTTAATTCTTAATATTCTCCTGTAAAACATAGATGATATGCAAACTGTTTTAAAATACTCGCTTGCAAGTTTCTTTCCTGAGACCTAATGTAGGGTCTGATCTTGCAAATTATCACTCACCTAAACAGTCCTTACTCGTGTGAGCAATTTCACTGGCTTCTGTGGGACTATTTACATGAGAAGAGACGGTTTGAAGGATCAAACCCATAATCATAGCTTCTAGGAGCCTGGTGTCATGTGAGAGCAATACTCCAGGTAAACACCAAGTTATGTTTATGCCCCATGTCCAGCATTGAGTTTACACAGCTGGCCCTCTGACAGCTCCACCCATCAGGTTTCAAGGCCACACCTGGAATTTGCTAAAGGTTTCAGGAGACTTTCATAGAGTGTGGCACGATGTTTTGTCAATGGAAAAAAAGAAAGAGAGGAGATCAGCTCGTAGCAAATGTGAGATGTCCACTGCACGTCTGTCCCTAGCAAAAAGTTTCACAGCATAATTAAATGTAAAAAAGCTGCAATACTATGAGTGGTAATGTTATTCATTAAAATGCACAAAAGCCAGGAGATGAAAAGGTTAGAGCTCTTGTAGTAACTGCAATTGGTTCACATTGTGCATATATAGCATGTGATAGTCTTGATTAGCGCTCAGGTTGTTCAACGTCTATCCAGATCTAGGTACTTCTGTGGCATTGTAGCCTTATAATCTGAGCACTCACAAATATTAGTGAATTTATTTTCATAAAAGCCCATAAGCCACGAAAGCAGCATTATTCCCACTTTACAGATGGGAAATTGAGACATGGAGCGATCAAGGAGCTTGCCCAGGATCACACAGAAAGTGTTTGGCAGAGTCAGGAATTGATTGAAGATTTGAGTCTCAGCCCAGTGCCTTAAACCATCAGGCTAACCTTCTTCCCACTGACCAGAGCATATGGGCTGTAAGTTTGTAACGAGAGGGAGAAAGGAGCAACGTCTACTGGGACCAGCCTACTACCACTAATAAAGAAGGGAAAGTGAGAGGAGTGGCAGAGAGAGAGGGTACGGCATAACATGGCTGACTCTCGTGCAGCACTTGCTGCACAAAAGCAACAGAAAAACCTGCCTTCCTGGCTCCTTTAAGCAGAGCTAGCTTCCTATAGCATTCTACTAGTCAGTGACTGAATATTCAAAGTTCTCTGTTGCCTGCAATATGTTGCAGAAACCTCAAGTGCTTACTGCTAATCACTGTGAACTGCTCAGAAAGTTATGGGAGGGGCTTGACTAGAATATCCATAGCGCTTTCCACCGTCCAGATACTTCATGAACATTAAGTAATCCCCACAGCTTCCCTGTTGCAAAGCTAGGTCTCATGCTACCCAAATTGGGAAGTAACTATGCTAATGCCTGCATATGCCCAGTGTGACCTTGCATAGGCGGTGAGTTATATGGGCCCGTGGTGCCCGTGCTCCACCAATATTCAGGAACGTGGGCCCAGCTCCACCAATGTTTGGGCTTATATTTTCAGAGCCCTCCCGTTCATAGGATGGACCGGGGCAACCACCCCGGGCTCCATGCTTTGGGGGGCCCACACTTCAGGGGCCTGCAGGGTCCAGGCGGCCTGGGGGTTAGTGGGAGACCAGGCGCTGGCAGCAGCAAGCAACCCGTCCCCAGCCCGCTCTACCCCGCCCCCGCTCTGCCCCTTCACCCAAGTCCCCGCTCCACCTCTTCCCGCCCCTGCTTCGCCCCTGCCCCATCCCCATTCCACCCCTTCCCCCAAATCCGCACTTCTTCCACCCCTTCCCGCCCCTGCTCCACCCCTCCCCGCCCCCTGCCTCTTTCCGGCTTCCGCCCCCTCCCCTGAGCGATGCTGAGAGCTGGCGGAGCAGGGGCGGGCTGGGGCTGGGTCTCTCGCTGCTGCTAGCACCAGGCCCCCCACTAACTCCCCAGGCCACCCTGGACCCCACAGCCCCCTGTAGCACGGGGCCCCCCAAAGTGCAGGTCCTGGGGCGGTTGCCCCAGTCCGTCCTATGGACGGAACGACTCTGCTTGGACCTGTTCTGGGCACCACCAAAAATTATACAAACCCTGACACCCATGTCACCTTGGTATTTCCAGGTGCCTGAGCAGGGTCATGCTGAGTCAGTGTGTTCACAGTATCAGTAGCTATGGCTTTTCTCTGCAGGCAAACCTGGCTCATGGGCACTTAGTAAATGTCACACCTCCGAGGTACACAGGTATATCCATCACATGGGGACGCTGAGGCACAGAGATGTGATATGACTTGCACAGGAATCATAGATGGAGTCCCTGTCAGAGCAGTAATTAGCGCTCCCAAGTTCTTGGTTCCCACTCCGGACCTCAGACCACTAGAGTGTGCCACTAGAACATGCCTAGATTTAGATCTGATTGTATGATTCCCATCGCCCCCTACCCCCTGTTTTCTGTGAAAGAACAAGGGCTGATATGTCTGTTTTTTCCTTGTGTAACAGATGCCTTGTCTTTCCCTTTTCACGGACCAGGACGAAGTGCCGGTGGAGGCAACCAACCCCCAAAAGAACAAAATGGACAAATTAATTGAAATCCTCAACAGCATGAGGAACAACAGCAGTGATGTGGACTCCAAGCTCACCACCTTCATGGAGGAGGCCCAGAACTCCACCAACTCTGAGGAGATGCTGGGCGAGATCGTCAAGACCATTTACCAGAAAGCGGTGACGGACCGCAGCTTCGCCTCCACAGCCGCCAAGCTCTGTGACAAAATGGCGCTCTTCATGGTGGAGGGGACCAAGTTCCGAAGCCTGCTTCTCAACATGCTGCAGGTAATTAGATATTTGCAGCTGCTCCCAGTGTGTTATTACTAGAAAGAAGTCCAGGAATTCTGACCATAGTTGAGCTTTTCCCAAGTTCCATTCTTGCCCAATTAATTATAGAAAAGAAAAGTGTAAGTGAAGAGAGGGCAGTGGTTTTTGTGTTTGTTTATGCAAGTGTTTCATGGTTACGACAGACCAATATAATTTTATAGGCACCATCCGGTTAATATCCATCTCTATCTCTCCTTCTGTTTTAAAAGCTCAGTTTAACAAATGCTCATTCCCCAGGCACTGTCCCCACCTAGTTTTAACCCATAAAGCTCTGAAAGGTTTGGATTCTTAGTACGTCAGAGACTACCTCTCTCCTTATGCGATTCCCCAGTGGTTGAGATTATTATTGTTTGTTGTTCGTATTACTGTAGTACCTACAATCTTGGACCAACATCAGAACCCATGTGCTGGGAGTGTACATAGACAGTCCCTGGCCTGAAGAGCTTGCAGTCTAAATAGACAAGACAGGCCAAAGAGGAGAAAGGAAGGATCTTTATCCTCGTTTACAGACAGGGAGATGAGGCTCAGGGAGATGAAGGCCAAGATCCCCAAAGGGATTTAGGTACCTGAAGACCAGAATGTGTTGCTGCAGTCCGCAAAACCCTTCACTTGGCTGCCATCTCATCTTGTAGGTCCCTAAACTCATTTGGCACCAACGTTTTCACTGTAAAAATTCCCGAGGCATCTAAGTTTCTACCTGGGGGCAAGTGCACTGCTATCTATCTCACCTGTGCGGCCTGAATCCGATAGTTGTGCTCAGAGGCCTCCTCCGAAGTCCTTTGTGGATCTGGGCTGAAGTGACTTGCCCAAGGTCACACAGGAAAGTCTATGGCACAGTCTTGAATTGAATCCAGCTCTCTGTGCCCTAATTACAAGATCTCCCTTCCTACAAGATCTGGTGAGGCACTTGAGGAGGTGATGGGCATTTGAGGAGACAGCTCTCTGGCTTAAATGGAAGAAAGCTGGGCATTATCCGTGGAGGGTCCTCACCGCTGGTATTTGTGTCCCCCATTGCGCTGCCAGAGCCCAAGTTTGTTTCCACATATCTCACAGCTCTTGATGCTAAACACATGGAAATAAATAGCTGCAAGTTGCTTTAATCCAATATGAGCCCTGACTCAACTACACTGTCTAGGAAGCAGAAGAAAATTGCTGGCATCGATCTGCCTGGCTTGCAACTGTAACAGCTGCACTTTCAACCCGGACGGTAATGATTTGTGTGTGTGCAGATCATTGATTATCATGGGTGACTTTTTTATCCATACACCCAGCACTGGGTTTACTGTACCATGTCCAAGAACTCTATAGAAAAGCAAAGTCAATTAAAAAATAAACTGATAGCCCTGGCATTTAGACCATCATAATGATATATAACCAGGGAAATTGGGATTGTCCCCTAGGCACCGGCTGCCCGCTGATGGAGAGCATAGGCTTGAATGTCTGTGTTGGTTTATTATGCTGTTTAGCAGCTCATCACATGGTTAATATGTGATTATTTGCTTTCTGGGAGAGGGTATCTTAGAGTCCCTAGGCCTGCCTGCCCCTTCAACATACCCTCTTTGTTCCCTGCCTGCACAGGGCACATGCCGCGCCTGATTATTTGTTTGGCCAAGGAGGGTTAGAGCAGGCTCTCTCACTCAGGGCCGGCTCCAGCTTTTTTGCCGCCTAAAGCGGCGAAGCGGGGGGGAGATAAAGCCGCGATCGGCGGCACGTTCATTCTTGGGCGGCAATTCAGCGGCGGGTTCTTCCCTCCGAGAGGGACTGAGGGACTTGCCGCCGAAGACCCAGACGTGAGTCCCCTTTCCATTGGCCGCCCCAAGCACCTGCTTCCTTTGCTGGTGCCTGGAGCCGGCCCTGTCAGGACCTACCTCTTTCCACATCTCTGATGGGCTGGATCCATGAGATGTGGCCCTTCAGTTTTGAATGTTTGGGCTCAGCTTAGCTGACTGTTTTTCAGGGAGGCTGGCTGGCTTATGGGATTGATAGGCTGTGGGACCTTTTAACCTGTTAGTTAGGGTTACCATATTTCAG